GGTGAGTGAATGGCCCGAGCCCGCGGGTTCGAGACCCGCCTGGGCAACTCGGCGAGCCCTCGTCTCTACAATAAATCAAAAAGTCAGCCGGGCGTGGTAGCGCGCGCCTGTAGTTCCAGCTGCTTGGAAGGCCGAGGCGGAGGGATCGCCGAGCCCAGCAGGTCGAGGCTGCGGTGGCGGGGAGCGGCCACTGCGCTCCAGTCTGGGCGACGGAGTGAGACTCCGACTGCAAAAAAAAAAAACACCTCTCTGACCACCCACTTTGCGTTTCGACCCACGCCTGCACCCAAGTAGCCACTCAACGCAGCATTTCCAGCACCCCAGACTCTGCCCTTATGCCCCTCCGAAGTTAACTCTTGCCTCTCGTGGATGTCTGTTACTACAGGTTGGATCTGCCTTTTCTGGAACTTCATAAGCATGGGGTGCTTTTCCAGAACTTACTTGTGTGTGTTTGAGTCAGGGTCTCGCTGTCGCCGAGGCTGGAGAGTAGAGGCACCATCACTGCTCAGCCCAGCCTCGACCTCCTGGGCTCAGGCCATCCACCTCAGCCTCCGAGGACCTGGGATAGTGCCACCGTGCCTAGCTTTTTTTTTAGTTTTTGAAGTGATGAGCTCTCGCTGCGTTGCCTGCGCTGGTCTCGAACTCCTGGGCTCAAGCAATCCTCCCGCCTTATCCTCCCAAAGTGCTGGGATCACAGGTGTGAGCCACCACTGAGAAAGGAGGTAGCTAGAAAAAGGCAAGGCGGACAGACAGGCAAGGCCTCTGATAACAATGTAGCAAATTCCAGGCAGACCTCAGGCTTGTTGGTAAATAAGCTCCCTGAGTCGCTCAAGCTAAAGTTTAAGTACTCACTGCTGGGATTGAAAAGCAACCTATCAGCTCACCATTAGGCCCCTACCTCCTGCCAATTGGTCCTTGAAACTGACCAATCAGAACAGCTCACAGCTAGTGCTAGCCAATCGGCTTGGCCTTAGGGCTATATAAGCACCAGTTTTCTTTTGTTTTGTTTTTGAGTTGGAGTCTCACTGTTGCCCAGACTGGAGTGCAGTGGCTGCTCCCGGCCACCGCAGCCTCAGCCTGCTGGGCTCCAGTGATTCTTCCGCCTCAGCCGTCCAAGTAGCTGGAACTACAGGCGCGTGCTACCACTCCCGGCTCATTTTTGATTTATTGTAGAGATGAGGTCTCGCCAAGTTACCCAGGCGGGTCTCGAACCCGCGGGCTCAGGCAATCCACTCACCTCAGCCTCCCAAGGCGCAGGATTACAGGCTGAGCCACCGACCCCGGCTAGCACCGGGTTTTTTGACCCCAGACCGGGAATCCCTTTAGGTCCCCTCCCACTGTGGGAGCTTCTCTGTCCTCTCAATAAAATCCGAATTTCTCACTTTCCAGCTGTCCGTGTCCCTCATTCTTCCTGGGCACGAGCCAAGAACCTCTACCATGAAGAGCTGCGACCTGAAGAGCTGCAGATCTTCGGAGCCGAAGAGCCGTGCACCGCGGAGGCTGGCTTTCCAGCCCATGGAGCCGGCTGAGCCAGGAGAGCTGCCAGAAGGTGAGATTCCCAAGCTGAGACACTCTGCGGGTTAGGCTTGCCAGCCCACGGGACCAGCATCCCTCTCGGGTTTGGCTCGCCAGCCCATTAGAGCTGACACTTCCGGGGCTAGGCTTACCAGCCCCTCCAGACTACCCACTCGGGGTCTGGCGGACCAACCCATTGAGCCCAGGCTGACCTGAAAAATCTGCATCGCCACCTCTGGTCCAGAACTTCTTATGAATTAGTACTACTTTTTTGGGGGGGGGGGTTACTTTTTAAAATTAGCGCTACCCGTAAGGCTCCCCACACACACACCCCGTGTATTATTCTTGCGACGTACTCGTGTTGCTCATTTGTCGAGTGGTATGTCCATTTTTAGCCACTCACGGTTGATACTGATTGTTTCCAGTTCCGGACTATTATGAAAAATACTTCCATGAAAATTTGTGAGTGTTTGCGTGGCCATGTTTTCATTGCTCTTGGATAACTACTTAGGAGCGGGCCAGCTGGGAGTCAGACGGGAAAGTCTTAGGACTTGTGTTGCCCCTGGCTGCTTAGTGATCGGTTTTCTCCTCACCCGCTGCCTGATTCCTTCCACGTCAGATGTCGGGTAAACTGAAGGAGAGCTTCCCAGAGCTGTCTGGTCTAGTCAGTCTGCCTGCTCTGGTGTCTTTCCAAGTACCTGTCCCATATTTTTGTTCTAAACAATTAACTTTAAAAATCTGAATTTTTAGCTTTTTAGAAAAGCTGAAGATCTCGAGTTAAGTGAAAGGTGGAGCTTAATTGTACAGATGCCCAAACAACTGCTTTTCTACTGTTAGGCGCTGAACAACCAAGAGGCAGAAAACTGGCAACAATTTCAACCCTGATGAGAGCTAAAGCAGAACTTTCAAAAAAGAGCTAGCATATACAAGGCCAGAAGGGACTGGGTGCAGTGGCTCACAACTATAATTCCAAGGTTCTTGAGCCCAGGAGTTCGAGACCAGACTGGGCAACATAGAGAGACCTTATCTCAACAAAAAAAAAAAAAGTCAAAAAATTAGCGGGGTGGTGGCACATGCCTGTAGTCCCAGTTACTTAAGCAGCTGAGGCAGGAGGATTGCACAGTGATTGTGTTACTGCCCTTCAGAGACCTCAACTCAAATAAATAAAGTCTTTTTTTTTTTTTTTTTTTTTGAGTTGGAGTCTCACTCCATCACCCGGCTGGAGTGCAGTGGCATGCTCACGGCCACCGCAACCTCGATCTGCTGGGCTTAGGCAATCCTTCTGCCTCAGCCTTCCAAGTAGCTAGAACTATAGACATGTGTCACCATGCCCAGCTAATTTTCATGATTCGTTGTAGAGATGAGGTCTTACCAAGTTGCCCAGGCTGGTCTCGAGCCCCCTGGACTCAGGCAGTCCTCTCATCTCAGTCTCCCAAAGTGCTGGGATTACAGGCTGAGCCACTGCACCTGGCCAATAAAGTCATTTTCAAAAGAGGAAATGAATTCATATTCAAATTGAACAGAAACATCTGAATTTAAAGTCACTTTGGTTAATTTTCTGAAATAGATCAGTTAACTTTCCAGTGAAGCCTCCAAATAAGTTGACTGCAAGAGTATTTGAAAGTCACTTTTAATGCTGGCCTTCATCATGGTGTTAAATTTGCTTCTACATGCATACTTCCAGGACCTTCTATTGCTGTCAAGACCCCAACCTTACCCCGTTTAGGTCACAGCTATCACCACCGAGTTGTTCTTGAGATTCGTTTGCACAAAATGGACAGGCTGGTCCTTGCAAGTACAGAACTAAAGATCTACAAAAAATAACTTATGAAAAAGCCATTTATTAGGCTCTTAGAGAAGTAAACAGGCTCTAAGTGGATTTGGGGGGAAGTGAGCCCAGGTTCAATCCATCCTGAATATAAGTGAAATACAATCCCAGATCCTCATTACCCTAATTTAAGACCTAAGACAGGGCCGGCAAGAGTTCAATACGTATCCACACCTGTATATTTTTAACACTATAATAATGAACCAAACGAGGAAGTTAAATATATATAATCTAAAAGACCATAATTTTAAAGCAAGAAAAAGCAATTCACCCTATAGCTGCAACTATCTGAAAATGCACGGAAAATAATATTAGTAGATAAATGCAGGTCTGTAGGTGATGTTTCTTTTTACATTTTTTATACCATACTTATTATATTTTTGACAGAAAAATAAGTTATAAACACTTGAAGAATGACCATGTGCTTTAAACCTTAAATTAAAATAAATTTTTATTCAAAGCATCTTTTTAAATCACAGCATGTTTGTTATGCTGTTAACTCTGCCAAACTACAACTTAGCCATATGAAGCATAAAACACTTCAAAACTTTGAATGTAAACCACATTTTTTAAAACAAAAAGCAGTCTTAACACACCTCAAATTTTAGATACCAATGTATTTTGTCCAAGTATATAGCTTATATCAAAAAGTACATTTTAAATGTTCCTATAGTAAATAGTAATAACTTCTTAAACTGTTCCAATTTTACAAATTAAAATGTTTGTGAATATAACTATTAGGGTCGACAAAAGCTGACCAGAGAAACAAACAAAAACCCTTACTTTTGAAGACCTTAAATTTTATCATCTGTGAATTGGCAAATATTTGTATTTTAAAATTTCTTACTACCTTTCCTTCTTTAGTTAAGTTTATCAAATTTTAAGTTTCCCAAGACTGATGAGTGTTGCTTTTCATTCATTTAAATCGTATTTGAGAGGAACCATTCTAGAGGAAATGTTGAAACCTAAACCAAGAAAATTCAGATCCTATCCTCTCTCTCACCGGGCTTATAAGTGCTCCAACTTAAAGTTCTATATACCAGATTACAAACAAAATTAATAGACCATTACAAATATAAATTCTCTTATTACAAAAAAATTCCTAAAGATTTGTAATTGACTGTACAGAGGAATTACATTTTAAAGTATGTCCTCATCATACACATTATTTGTAACTACCGTGTCTTCTCTCATACTTTTGCTCCTCTTCAAGATATTTACATACCTGCCCTCCCCCATGGTTACGTCTTTTAAGCTATCTGTGTACTGCGACACATTGGGATTTTTGGATAAAGAAGCCTACATTCCAGATACATTTAAACTGTATCTGCAGGATACCACTTCAACTCAAAAAATTAAAAAGGCACTGGAGAGCCCCTATTTCCCCCTAATACTCTGAGTTTTACTCCAATTAAGCAATCCATGGATTACCATGCTATGCATGTCACTTAGCTCTGCTTATAACAGAAGCCAGAAGGGTGGAAGTTTCTGCCTACACAAAGGGAGGTGGTCTGCTCAGCTCTCGATCCTTCCATTCATGCTTCAGCACATAAACTGATCTCATGACTTCATCTGTTTGGAAAAATGGTTTTAAACCACCACACACGTTAACACACTTGCAGTTAAACTATTTCAGAAGCCTACTTATCTGAGTAGCTAATATTTTCTACAGTGTTTCACTGATAGCTAAATTTAGTGAACAAAAAATAGCTTGGCATGTTATTCTGAAGTAAAGCAAGAAGGTGGCTTTATGCACTGAAAATATAAATATGGAGGCTTCCATTTGCTAGTAATTCTAAACAAGCAGTACAATTACGATTTAGTGTTTCCTAACAAAGTATCTAAAACCTTTCACTACAAAACAACCCTGTAGCTGTCCCTTTTATAACAAAAATCCAAGTGCCAAATTTCATTACAGGGCCCATAATATATATTTTAAAAATTACCAATTATCATGTTACCTAGACTTTGCAAGATTAATCACTCAATTTCAGCAAATGAGAAATGAAATGTGCAAGAGTTCCCAAATTAACATGCTAGGGATGACAAGTGCTTTTCAAACTTAAACATTATAATGAGTTGTAAAGTCCCAGAAAGAATAAGACTGATTTCACTCCAATTTTGAAACTTCTGAACTATTATGCATCTTACCAAGCTCTTCAAATATTTATTGTCTTCCAAGTTCACAACTTCCAGAATAGTCAGCCTCCCATTTCTCTGCCCTTGGTGGGAACACTATTTTGCAGTTTTAAAATACCTATCTTAGACACACATCTTCGACTTTCTTGCTTGCTTCAGTGTTTACAGTATTGTTAAACATACTAATATACATTGTTTAAAATGATCTTATAAATAATCTATTTCAACCCTCTTTGGCTACTTGTACCATTCTGTTTTTCACACAAGTGTCTTATTCAGAAAGTGCTTCCTGTGAGAACTGCTTCCAATGAATTCATTAAACTTGCAAAATCTAGCTTCCCACAATATGTAGTTTTCTACCCTGTACTGTGCAGTCCCTATTTACAAAATACTTTAAACTTTACATCAAATCCATTTCCATATAAAAAAGTGCAATTCTCTCTCGCCCCATATTCTGGGGCAATGACATTCTTCATAAGTTTCTACAGAATAGCAGCCTATGGTAAGCAAGTAAGGTGCTTAGCTTATGCCCAAGGATCTACTGCTCAAGTACGCCGGGCAGTACCGCTGTACGGCGAAGAGTCCGCGTCCGGCTACTGGCGGAGCGGCGCCCCGGTCAGGTTGGCCAGCTCGATGAGCGCCAGCGCCCCGTGCAGGCGCTCGCGCTGCTCCTGCAGCCGGCGCTGCGCCCCGCTTTTCTCGTCGTCGTCCTCGTCGGACTGCAGGTACTCCAGCGGGTCCTGCTGCTCTTGGTCTGCCTTCTGGGCGAGCTTGCCCTTCAGGGCGGGCGCGCGCTGCTCTCTCATCTCCCAGTACCTGCGCGAAACGCATCTGCGTGAGTCGCACGAAGACGGCAAGTTCCCAAAGGCTTCCTTTGCTCTAAAGAAAGCTTCCGTACCACAGTATTACTTTGATGAGGTTCAGCTTATAAAAAGTGACTTCACACACATTCCCCACGTACAGAGGAAAAAAACTCAAGTTCAAAGAAGGTGAGAGGCTTGCACAGGTTTCTGTGATCAAAACCTGGCTGTTCCAGATCTCTTGAAACCACATGATTTTGCCATTACACTGTTGCTGCCTTAAAGATCCTATGTGAAATAGACTAGAGTAAAATACAGAAAGTTAAAAAAAAGGTCATTAGAAACCTATTTATCCCATCCACAGCAGAGGTAACTTCTAGCAGTTACTACGTAAAACATTAAACCCACAAACTATGACAAAGTTATTTATTTTTGGAGCTGTCACCCAGGCTGGAGTGCAGTGGCACTACCATGGCTCACTGCAACTTCAGACTCCTGGGTTCAAGTGACCCTTCGGGCCCAGCCTCCTGAGTAGTTGGGACTTCAGGTGCGTGCCAACACGCCCAGGGAATTTGATTTTTTTTGTAGAGACAAGGTCTTGCTATTTTGCCTAAGCTGGTCTTGAACTCCTGGACTCAAGCAATCCTCCCACCTTGGCCTCCCAAAGTGCTGGGATTACAGGCATGAGTCACCACACCCAGCCAACAAAGTGATTAACATCTGCAACACATACAGTTTCTATTAAAAACTTAAGAACACCTCTCTTGTTATGTTGCACAGCCAACTAATAATTCAGAAAAGGCAAATGTCCAGCTCTCTTGGTAACCAAGGAAATGCATATTTAAGTGACAGTATCATTACGTACAAAAATGTCACTACAAAGCCTTATAGAAATAAGGGGCCATTTCGAATCATTTTATTAGGCTGATGCATAAGTTCGTAGCATCTGTTTTTGACATGCCAACACTGTGGTGCTGGGAGTTCAACATTTGTCATTTGGAGTGACATTGTTGCGCCTGTGAATATACCTTGCCTTTTCCAAATCTGAAGAAAGTCAGTGCTACTTATAGGCTAAAGAAGATGGAATATCAGGTGGAAAAAAGGGAACACTCCCGACATGGTCTTCTGTCTAACAGAGGAAGGAGTAAAGGCAGCAGAGGCGCTGGAAACATCTGTGCCAAGTCCGGGGAGCATGCATTCGGGAAAGCACGGCAAGAAAATGGTTTTGTCGTTTCAGGGAGGGCCACTCTGACCGGAGTGATACTCCACCTTCGGGAAGACCACTGGACTTCGATGAAGGAATACACTCTTTAGTCCACGATGATCCACGTCAGTCAACCCAAGAATTGGCAAATGTGATGAACTGTGACCAATCAACCACTGTGTGATATTTGCATTCCGTGGGCAACTGAAAAATGCTATGGACTTATGCATCACCCGAATATGGAACGTGGATAAATGCAGCGTGTTTAAGATGAGAGGACTCTGCAAGTCCCTGACATCCCCCGCGCCCCCCAGTGTCTTCACAGTGGACTAGACCTAGAGCCCTTACTTTGCCAGCCACTCGGCAGCAGCCTTGTTGTCCGCAGCCTGGTGCTTGCTGAGTGTGTCTGTGGGCTCCTCCCTCTTCAGCCTGGCATAAGGATGCTTTGGACAGTGGCGGTTTGCATGGGTGAATCTGCTCAGGCAGCCTTCAAGACACACAGGGAAACATTCATCAGAACCTGGACATTCAGCAGCAAACACATAGAAAATGTTGCTTCACTGGTATCCAGAAAAGCACATTAAGACAGTAAGATTCAGCATTTTATGACACGGAGGAGAAAACCACCTGACTACCTACACTCAGCCTCATCAATGCGAGTGAGGTGGACAGGAGGGCACACCAGTCACATTTTGGTCATGTAAGTGTGCCCAACCCCACTGGAAAGTGATTTATTAGCACAAGTCACAAAAATGTTCAAAACCTCTGACCCGGGAATTCCATTCTTGAAAACTATAAGGAAACTTCCCAAAGGGTGAACAAAGCTGTAAGTATGAAAACATTCCCCTCAGCTTTGTTGGTAATAGGCAAATTTTAAAAATAAATTAAATATTCAACATCTAAAATTGAGGTTATCATTGTGTATATTCATAAGCAAAATCACTAGATGAAAAAGTTTGTAGACATTTGTAACAGTAATCAAGAAAACTACAAAGCAACAGTACAAAACTATACTAAGTTTCAAATATAACTAAGAAAAATGTGTACAAGGAAAACACCTTTGAAAACTGTGATAACGAGGCCAGACACAGTGGCTTAATGCCTGTAATCTCAGCACTTCAGGAGGCTGAGGTGGGAGAATTGCTTGAGCCCAGGAGTTCGAGACCAGCCTAGGTAACATAGTGAGACCCTGTCTCTACAAAAAATTTTTAAAAATTAGCCAGGTATGATGGCATATGCCTATAGTCCCAGCTATCCAGAAAGCTGAGGTGGAAGGATTGCTTGAACCCAGGAGGCCGAGGCTGCAGTGAGCCATGATTGTGCCACTGCACCCCAGCTTGGGTGACAGAGTGAGACCTCAACTCAAAAAAAAAAAAAAATCATGATAAGAGATTAAGAAAATTACTTAAGAAAAGATAATATGCTTACTTCCGTTTAATAGTTTAAAACCAATATAAAACCCTACTCTAAAGGCTATATTTATTTTTACAGATTTTTCTACTGCCTACAACTGGATGTAATATTTTAAATTGCCCTTTAAGGTTTTCATCTAGATAAATATCTTATTTAAAACTCAATCATTTCCAAGAAATTCAGCATGGATCACAATTATTAGCAAAGGAGAAAACTTGTTATTTTTTTCCTTGAGTTGGAGAAAAACTCTGTCACCCAGGCTGGAGTGCAGTGGCACATTCACGGCCACCACAGCCTTGACCTGCTGGGCTCGCTCACGCGATTTTTCCACCTCAGCCTTAAAGGAGTGGCAACTACAGGCATACACCACCACATCCAGCTAATTTTTTAATTTATTGTAGATACAAGGTCTTGCCAAGTTGCGCAGGCTGGTCTTGAACCCCTGGGCTCAGGCAATCCTCTCACCTCAGCCTCCCAAAGTACAGGAATTACAAGTGTAAGCCACCAAGCCCAGTGAAAGCTTATTACGCTTTATAAAATTTATAAACTCAAAAAAAAAAAGTTCTCCACCCAAAAAATTGAAGTAAAAGCTGCTTTAATTGTTAACTCATAACTTATTACTCCATAAACTTAAGTTCTAACATCGTACCATTTTCTGAACAAACAAAAGGCTTCTCTCCGGTATGAAGACGCTGGTGTGTTTTGAGCTGTCCACTTTGAACAAAGGCTTTTCCACAGTCTGGATAGTCACACAGATAGGGTCTCTCACCTAAGCAGAGAGATGAGACATATTATTATCTCTGAGGCAACAGGCAAGAAGAGGAGGGGGTGGGGAGAGAATCAACCTGTTTGGTCGTGACTCCAAACGATGAAACGCATGCACAGTCCCACAGAGCTGCCAGTGAAGATGCTAATGGCAACCCTGGATGATGTCAACTGGCTGGGAGACAATATTCGTGTTAGGCTTGGAGCTTTGAGGTACCCAGGCTCAAGTCCTTGAAGTTGTCACCTTCAGCTTATCCCATTCTTTCCACTCCAAATCACTGGGTCCGCTGATTCTTCAATGTCTACAGGCCTACTTTCCTACTGCAGCTTCCCTGGTCACACGGCAGCCCCTCCCACTAGAATGAGCCCCCCTAGCTGGCCTCTCCTCTCTCCCTCTACACTGCCCTTCTAGAGCAGCTGGCACAGAGCTCTGCTTTTGACATACCAACTAGACCCTATGCCATCCCAAGACCTGGACAAGTAAGAATTATCTGCTGCCTTTTAAATGGCCCCTAATATCTGCACTACATGCAGTCTCACTGATCTTATTACCGTGTTAGGCATAGGATGTATCCTTACTTCCCTCCTGGGAAGTCATTCCAGCTAGGAAGTGGTTCCTCATCTTGCCCTAATCCTTGAAAGTGCTACCTCTCTACCATTCAAATCCTCCCAGTCCTGTAGGCTCTCAGGGAAACACTTCCTACCTCCAAATAATTGAACTTTGTATACGTTAGTTAACTTAGTGTCCTGTGTTGTTTATGTATCATGGTAGCCTCATTCTGTAAAAATTCATAATTTATATATATTTCATTTGAATTCCTATAGCCAATAGAGTACTAGGTAAACTTACTATTTCTTGAAAAAAATTTATTTAGCCAACAATTATACACTGTTCTTTCCAACATAACTCAAAGAATAATAACAAGTCCTTCCTACTTTTCTCATCACTTAGAGACATACCAAATGGGTGTGATAGCTGAACACAAGTTAACAAAGCACAAGATACACGGAGATTAATATAGTAAGAGAAAAACATTTCACAAAGCACATACTATCAAAGCTCAGATATTCCTTAGGGATCCTGGGTTCAGTTCTCTTGTAACAGTGCAGCAGGCTGAGGCCTGGGGTATCAGGGGACACAGTAGTGGGGTTATCAGAGGTTGAAACTGGGACTCAGGGCTCTCTTCATTATATCACATGGTCTTGAGTCTTACACTGGCAACAAATCCTCTATGGTCTGCAAACCAGTTAACTGAGGGTATTTCAGAATACTGAGATTAAAGAAAATACATGAATTCTCAAAATTAGAGTATGTCATTAAGAAATCATTTTACTACTGGTACCCAAGTCAAAACCTCTAGCCACCATAGTTTATGATGACTCCAAATTAAAATATTACCCTTTTTCAGGGATTTAACTTAAAAAACTATATTCTGCCATGCACAGTGGCTCAAGCCTGTAATCCCGGCACTCTGGGAGGCCGAGGTGAGAGGATTGCCTGAGTCCACGGGTTTAAGAACAGCCTGGGCAACTTGGTGAGACCTCAACTCTACAATAAATCAAAAAATTAGCTGGGGATGGTAGCACATGCCTGTAGTTCCAGCTACTTGGAAGGCTGAGGTGAAAGGATTTCCTGATACCAGCAGGTCAAGGCTCTGGTGGTCGTGAGCATGCCACTGCACTCCAGCCTGGGCAACGGAGCCTCCAATTCAATTTAAAAAAAAAAAAATTATATTCTATCCTAATCATTCAAATGTGTCTTTGCAAAAACCAAAAGTAAGAAAAAAAATGTGAAACACGTAATCACCATAAACATAGTGAAAAAGGGGACTGAGGGTTAAAAGCCCAAGTTCTAAACTAGTGTTTTCCAACAGAAACAGAACACGAACCACTTATAGAAGACACATTTGAAAAAGTAAAAAAAAAAGCCGGGCTCAGTGGCTCAGCCTGTAATTCCGCGCCTTTGGGAGACTGAGGTGAGTGGATTGCCTGAGCCCGTGGGTTCGAGACCCGCCTGGGCAGCGAGACCTCATCTCTACAATAAATCAAAAAATCAGCCAGGCGTGGTAGCGCATTCCTGTAATTCCGGCTACTCGGAAGGCTGAGGCGAAGGATTGCCGGAGCCCAGCAGGCGAGGCTGCGGTGGCCAGGAGTGG